ATGGCCACCCCTGACCTGACATTTCCTTTTCCAGAAGCTGTTCACATAGATTCCTACAGTCTGGTAGTCATCCACATGTGACGCTTGTGTGTCAAATACAAATAGTTGGTCTTAGATTTCTGTTCCAAGCATCATTGGTCCATGAATAGTTCTGGATTCAGAAATATAAAAGCAGCTCAAAATATATCTTTTATTTTGCAGAAGATTAAGAAAAGCTAATGGGAAAACTTGTGGATTAGATTAGCTCAAGCAGAAACAATTTAGTGACAGATGGAGCTACTGGGGGAAAAAGAAAGAAAAAAGAAAACAAAACCCATAACTCTGTGATCAGATTCTCAAGATAGGCTCAGGACAGCTGTTTTTGTAGCTCACTGCTCTAGAACTGTTGATGACCTAAGCCTAAGAAACATTTGGACAGTGTGAGAGATGGTTAGGGGCAAGCATATGCTCCAATTTTTCTTTTTGAATGTCCTACCCACACTGCTCAGTAATACTGATTTACATTGTCAAAGTTGGATGATATTTGGCTTGTTGCAAGATGTGAATTAAATTTTTTTTTCATTTTTTTTTACAAGAATCTCCAGAGTTACTGTCAATATTCACATGTAGATTTTATTTTTTAGTGGAAACATGGGTTTTCATTTCTCTTGTGGGAATATGTGGGTAGCAGGGCCAGGGCATATAGTAAGTGTATTCTCATTTTAACAAACTGATGATGTTTTCAACTGTCTTTTCTCAAACCTGGTAACACTGAGCATATTTAATGCACGATCTTTGTTAGCCAGTGTTCAAGTATTTGACTCACTTTAATTCTTCCTCTCTTTCTCTTTTTTAAAATCGATGAATTCTCAGAACTCTTGGGATACAACTTCTTTTTGATCTATGTCTTGCAAAAAATTGTTTTTCAAATTCCCTTTGCAGGACTCAGAGAAGAGGTTTTCTTAATTAGGCCCAAATCCAAGTGTTCCATTTTCTATAAGGTGGATAAGTATATTGGTATTATACCTGAGACATTTCTATTCAAGACTAGTTCACAGAGATTTTTCTTTTCTCTTTTCCTCAGATAGTTTTATAGTCCTAGGCTTCATGCTTGGATAACATTTTATAGGAGGTAGAAGAAAGTGAGCTTTTGGCACATGGATACAGATTGTCTCAGTGTATAGGCAGAAGGCGCACACAGGAAGAAGTAAGAGCATTCAGTGTGCACAAAGATCAGCCTTCTGGGACAATGGTATGCAGCAACCTCTGTTGCCGGAAGTTTTCCTGTGTCCCAGCCTGCTGGTGTTCTGGGACAAATCTTTCCCACTTGTGTCCCCCAAGTAAACATACAGAGGCTTATATTAATTATAACTGCATGGCCATCGCTCAAGCTTTTAACTAGCTAGCTCTATATCTTAAATTAGCCCATAACTATTAATCTATGTATCGCCACGTGTTCCGTGGCTTTACCTGCGTCCCATCACATGTTGCTCCTAGGGCAGCTCACTGGCATCTTTCCCTGCCTTCTTCTTGGCTCTCTCTTTGAATTTCCCGCCTACTTCTAAACTGCCTTGCCATAGGCCAAATGGCTTTATTTATCAACCATTCAGAGCAACACCTATTCGCAGCATAGAGAAAGACATTCCCCCATCAAACCTCATTTCCCCAGATATGTCCAACTCAGTTAAATGTCAGGCCCACGTGTTTGACTTTTTTCTCAAGTTGTTTTATTTTTTTTGTTTGTTTTTTTGGTTTATGCACCTACACTTTGGCCAAAACAGTACATTTTATGTCTTTGTTTCTGTCACTCTGTGATTAGGTGGTGTCAATTCTGCAAATTTAGCTTCTTCTTCTTCTTCTTCTTCTTCTTCTTCTTCTTCTTCTTCTTCTTCTTCTTCTTCTTCTTCTTCTTCTTCTTCTTCTCTAAACTGCTCAGCTAGACTAATTCTTTTGCATTTTCATGCAATTTGAAAGTTATCTTTTCCTGGAGAGAGATGGCACATGCTTAAAAGCATTGGCTGCTCTTACAGAGGACCCAGGTTTAGCCACAGCCACTCATAACTGTCTGTAATTCCAGTTCCAACACTCTTTTCTGGTCTCCTTGTAGATCAAACATGCACACCATGCTCAGACATGTAACGAGTCTTTCTTTGTTCCTCCAGCTCCCAAATAATGACATAGTTCTTATTAACTGTGAAAGCTTAGCATTAGCTTAGGCTTGTTTTTAACTAGCTCTTTTTACTTGAGTTTACCCATTTCTATTAATCTATGTTTTGCCTTGTAGCTTTTTACCTTTCTTTCATTCTGTATGTCCAACTCTCTCAGTGTCTTGTTGGCATCTTGATTTCTTCTCCTCTTCCTTTCTCTCCTCAGAAATCCTACCTATCTCTCCTAAATAGCTATTGGCCATTCAGCTCTTTATTAAACCAATCAGATTGTCCCTTAGCAAAGACACATCTTCACAGTGTACAAATATTCTGCAACACAGACATATATGCAGACAGATCAACCATATGCATAAAATAAAAATAAGTTTAAAATGAATAAAATAAATAAATGTCTTATTTATTTCTTTGAAATGCCCTAAATGTGTTGGGAAGAGTTCCTTCAGTTCCTAACTTGTAGAGAGTTTTTGTTATTTTGGACTAATATTAATTTTTTTTCACAAGATTTTGAAAAAATTGTTAAAATGCTCCCATATTTCGTCCATTAATTATGTCAATATGTTCCATTACATGTATGTGTGTGTTCATTAATTTACTTACTAGGTTCTTTGAAACTGATCCTTATGTAGTCATAGAGGTTGAGTTGGCCTCAACCTCCTTATGTAGTCAAGGCTGGCCTTGTACTCCTGACTCTCCAGCTTCTACCTCTTTAACAGTGGAAACAGACAAGTGTACCAACATGTCTGTCTCTTTGGCTGGAGCAGGAGATACACAGGCAGTCATGAGCTGCTACATGTAGGAGCTGGGAGCCAAACTTGGGTCCTCTAGAAGAGCAACAACTGTTCTTAACTTCTCAGCCAGCTATCCAGTCTCTTGTTGATCCCTCAGTCCTAGCCAGTCTGTTCTTATGGAATGAGAACAATGGGTGGTTTTTTTGTTGTTGATTCTTTTTTATCCTAATCTTGACTCTTTCTGTTTCTTGCTCCTTCATTGGCTCTTGGTTCAATAACTGCAAGACTCCTTGGCAACAATTCTGTTTCCCTTTTTTCTACTCTTTCTTCTAGTGAGAGATAAAGATCATTTATAGACCAAGAAATTCTGTGAAGGGCATTTGCAACAGGGGAGTACAAGCCAGACCTACAGGTGATTCTGGGCAAATTTATCTTTTTCCCTAAAAGGTTCTTGAGATTGATGTTCTGATATTTATATTTTCAGGTAAAAAGCTCCAAGGAAAATGTCTCAGGATCGTCTACCCTGAGTCCCCTGCTAAGCTCTACTGCTGCTATACAGTGATCGCCGTCCTCGCTGCAGCTGTAATTGCACTGTCTGTTGCATTGTCAGGTGAGTGACTCATCTCCAGATTCTGCAGTGTTCTGTCCACATCCACATTGTCACTTAGACTTACTGACCACTGTGAGCCAGGCACTGTGGGGAGAGCTGGGGAGAAAAAACACTGGAAATTCCTGTTCTCTGGGAACTTGAGTCTAGCAGGAAGATGCAGTGAAGGAACAGCACAGGTTGTGGTGTGCACAGGAGGCCAGGCTCAGCATCCATGGGAAGATGGCATTCAGCAACCTCTAGACAGATGCAGGAGACATATGTCCACCTGGGGGAACTATTCAAGGTGGAGAACAAGGAGAGCAATACCTAAAGGAGGAACCTTAAGGAAGTATGAGGACAGAGAAGAGTAATATGGCCAGGAAGATACAGCAGCTCTCGCCATTACCCATGGTTTTAGTTACCGTGTTCAACTGTATTTTGAAAGTATTTAATGAAAGGTTTTTGAAGTGATCAATTAAAGGATTTTAGTACCACACTCTTAGAATAGTGTTAGAGGTCTTGTACTGTCAGCATCTGTGGGGTGGCCTCTTTCCCTCTCAGCCTGTTGGCCATCAGGTTGAGAAGGGAAAGATGGAGAAGAGGTGACAGAAAGTTTTGTATGCAGCCCATGGGCATGGATGAAGGGAGGCCTCCCAGAGACAGACTTGGGGGAATCAGCTCAACTTATTCCAGAGTATAAGGAATATATAGGA